AGATGCATTAAATATGTTGTGTGGTTCATACAAAGATATGTTAACATTCTACCAAGCAGTATTTACATTGTTACTCTACCTACTTTTCTATAAAGTGAAGATTGTTTTACCTACTTTTGATACGTGCTCTGATAGAATAACTGTATGCTCAATAGATAACGCACTCGTGACTTTTTGAAGCATCTTAAAAATGCTAGTTTCTAAAACAAAGTGTCTAAAAAGACAACAGAGGTTTCAGGGGACATTAAATGTTAATACGTCAAGCTGCATGATAACATTAAAAGGAGGGATATCAACAACATACCTGCAGAACTGTACATTTTAGAGTAAAAAGTAAAGTTTTATTGCAATGATTTTGTATTTGGAAAGCTAAAATTGGTCTTGAATTGTCTCGTGTCTCGCTGCTCTGTGTATTCTCACAGTTGGACCCTCCAGATTGCCGACTGCTGCATTTGAAATCTGCCTCTCTGACGTTCCTCAACCACGAGGTGTGGACGGCTTCTTCCGCCCAGCAGGGAAGATACCTGCGTATCCTCTGAACACTGTGTGAAGTCAATAATATCATAATGTGCACATCATCAGGTTCATCAAGTCCCTCCTTCACAGACCTGTGTCAGATATCCTGAAGGACATCGTGGAGAAGATGTCCACTGGAGTACTCAGGTAAATATATAAATCACATGGCTAGATACTGGAGTCAGACACGTCCTTAATTATCATTACAAACTAACTTAAATTACATTTACCAGTGTCAGCTTTTAAGACAATGTTTGATATACAAGGAAATTCAAATTTATCATAAGAAAATATGAATTTCAGTTCAGTATTGTCGGGTAATGCTGCCACGCAAAGCAGGTATCTTTCTCATCTCTTGTGACAGGGGTTAATTATCCTCCTTATAGAGAACCGCAGTGACGCGTCGTAAAACCCAGAAGTAAGTTAGCATTTTTAGCACTTCCGGTTCCTTCCTCAAAAAGCAATGCATTTTTTCCATAGGGTTTTGGAAAATAGCTCGAAATAAGGTCTGTGGTTGACACAAATTTAAGAGGTAATTGACGTTTTGTTCTACGACATTAAATACATCAGCAGTGATCCCACTGGGGATTTTTGAAGAGTTTACGTGTCTGAAAAACGATGGTTGTTACCATTTCCATCTAAAGTAACAGATAGAGAATCAGCACTTTTGAAACAGGGCTGAAACAGAGGGGATTATGGGTAATGCTGCAATGATCTGTTTGGTGTTTCAGCCAATCAGAGACAGGTTCTGTATATATCTGAGACCTGTGATTTGATGAAAAACTGTATAATAGGAGACCTTTAAATCTAAAGGTGTTTGTCTCTGCAGACCTCAGCCTGAGGAGGCCGTCCCTCTCTACGAAGCCACGGTTACCATGGAGACCGTCCAGCGCCACCAGAAGAAAAAGGCCGTTGTTCAACTCTGACCAAATTCATGTAAAATGTACATGCGCTAAAACTCACAGGAATCACTTCACATCTGCAGTTTCATCAGCTGTTTGTCATGTAATGTACAACTTTCATACTAAATAAACCAACGGCAAGTCTCACAATACTGATTTTTAGAATATTTGTTATCATTTAATAATGATCTTATTGTGTTTTCTAAGAGAAAATAGTCAGTTCCTCTGCGTACAAACAGCTGGAAGTGCAGCCACAGCAACGTAACTTAAAAAACGGCAGCTTTGATCGAGGTTTTCTTTAAATACCCAAGTCTTTTCATACTTTATCTTCCATTCACCAGGATGTAAACACTGCAGAGCCCACACTGTGGGCCTTTCTCATTTCTCTAATTCCCCTCCTCGACTCCTCTCCTCGTGTGTTAGTCCCGCCCACAGGAGATGCGAGCGGAGGAGTCGAGGAGGGGAACCGAGGAGA